GAGAGGCCGCCCCTGAACCGGGACAATGAGCATATATATAAGTGTGGCAGCAGAGGCCAGCGGACAGCAGAGGGTCGGATGGCAGAGTGCGGTAGAGACCACCAAGAGACCACGGGAGAACGGCAGGGAGCCCAGAAAAAGTTCACGGGGAGTCACAGGAGTCCAAGCTGCTGTCTCCCTGCTGGTTTGTCTCCCCAGACCTGGGAGGATGCAAGGGCTCCAAGTTTCTCCTTCAAACCGCCTGAACCAATGGTGGTGGCAGGACTCCCTGCGAAGGGGTGACCCAGGTTCTCCTGGTACCCACTCTCATCTCCCTTGTGCCTGACACTTCCTACCCTCTCCCTCCCTCAGCTGAGCAGGCGCTCCACACCTGCTGCCTCCATTCATCTCTTGCAATATAGCCTGTCCGCGATCCAGCATGGTCCTCTGTCCACTTGAAGGCTCTTACCATGGCTCTGCTGTGTTGACAAAATGGAAAGTACTTAAAGGCCCCGCCCCTCTAGTTCTGAAATTGTTGCCACTACTGTGTGTCTGAGATGCTTTGCACTTGCTGGAGAAGCAGGCTGGAGGGCGCTGGGGCTCAGGCCAGGTGGCCGGCTGCAAGCAGTGGGTATGGCCAACAGGAAGGAGCTCCAGCGGGTGTTAGCCTTCTGCAAAGGCACTGCCCCCTTTTGGGCCTCAGTTTCCACATCTGAAAAGGGTGGGCACTGGCTTCTCAAGTGCCTCTGGGTTTACTCTGTGCTGGCTGGGGCTGGATCCCCAGACCAGCCCAGGAGTGCCTGGTCTCCTTGCTCAGGGCCACCCAATCAATGCAACACCCTCCCTTGGTTTCCCTTGTTTTATGATTCCACCTGGAAATGGCACCGCACGAGACCTCACCCTAACACATTGGCATAGCCCGAGCCTGGGAAGGCTGTTTTCAGTGTTGGGGTCTCTTCCCTGCCACTGCCAAGCTGTCAGCCCCCGGGGTGGTGGGTATTCACATCCCCCACACGGCAGGCTCCCGGGTCACACGGACTGCAGCAGGACAGGTCTTGGCATTGACTCCAACCAGGCTCCACCCTGACTTTGCTATTTAACATTATCAATCACATTCTAACTTACTGGGGGCTTACTATGGGCAAAGCGCCACCCACATATTTTGTACCATCTCATGTCACATAATAAGCACGTGGTGGGTATTTTCCCACTTTTACAGATGAAGAACCAGGTTCGAAGGCGGCTCACTGAAGTCTCTGTTCAACAGCAAAGCCCCCTGGCCCTCCCTATGGGAAGGCGCCCTCCCCCCAGCAAGCCCTTCAGCCTGTGCACTGCTCCCCTCCCTATCACCTCACACGCCAGATACCTGTCGTGGGCCTGCCGCTGTCGCTGTCGGAGCGCAGGGCTTTTACTAGAACAAAGCACAGCACAAGGTCATGGCTGGCTGGTGTATGCTGAAGGGTACTTGGTTCGATCATCAGCTCAGGGGCCAGTTACCCAGAGATGGCCCCGCAGAAGGGGCGAGGCTCTTTGGAGCCAGAGAGTTTTGGGTCTGAATTACTGCTTTTGGGTCTGAATTATAGCCTTAGCACCTCGAGTAACATTCTTTCTGAGCCTCAGTTTCTTCAGTAATAGAACAGACTAATATTGATCTCAGAGGAGCGTGGAGTTCTCGGCCATGGTAGGCATTCTGTAAATGTTAACTCCTCTCCCTGAGGAGGATTTGTCTCTTCCTGCCTCTCATCTTTCTCTGATGGTCTACCCTTTGACCATTTTTTTTTTTTTTTTTGTTCAACAGCAGTTCCTTAAGAGGACGAGCCGTTGCAGAATGGGTTGGCCTGGCTGTGGAGTTTACCAGCCTGTGCTCTTTCACTCTGCGCGTGTCCCTGTCCCAGGACGCGTTGCTAAGGCAACACACCAGCAGCCGGCAGGATGTGGCTGGGGTTCTGGCCCCAGCAGGAGAGACTATAGTTGACCTGGGGAAGGAGGGAGGCAGATACTCAGCTTGCTTCCTGGGATGACTTGGAATCTGCTGGAACAACTTAGCTGGCTCCCAGAGAAAATTAAGTGTTGTCCTGCATCTCCATCTGTGTGGCGCTGGAGAGGCCAACAGCCCTGGTCAGAGGTGGGAGCAGTATCCAGCTTGGTCCACTGTCTGCTGTGCTGTTCCTGGTGTGACCCCCAGACCCTGGGAGGGGGCCATAGCAGCCAGAGTGACACATAATCAAACTCCTGGCCCTCAGAATGGCACCTCCCCAGAGCAGGGCTGGCAACTAAGGAGAGTCTGGACGTGGTCCCCGGGGGGCACTTGGCACTGGCCACCCTGGCCTGCAAGGGGACTGGACTCGGCACCGCTGTCTCCTCCCGCAGCGTGAACGTGACTGTGAGACCCCCAGATCCTGGCCCTCCGGGTCTCCATTTCTTCCCTCTGAGCCTTCTCTTGTCCTGGGGGCAGTCTGAGAGATGGCGGCTCAGAGGTGTCCAGCTGGCTGCCCAGGGAGAAGGCAGATGCAGGCTCCTGCAGAGATTGGGAGCTCGAGGGCTGCCTCTGTGACCAGCCCTGGAACCAGACACGCCAAGCAGCTTCTCTGCAAAACTGGGATGATCACAGGACTTTCCTCCTAGGATTGTTGTGAGGATTAAATGCGTCGACTCTTGTAAAGAGCTAAGATCCGACCCAGACATGCTGAGTTCCCTGGACCTAAGCTATTACTGTCATTTTAAAGAGTGCATGCCTGGCAAGAGCATTATTCTTGGCGGAATGAAAGTTGTATTATTATTATTATTATCATCGCTAGGCTTTCCTCAAAAAGTGAGATGTTCAGGAAGTGCTGGGATGAGTGGTGAGGTCTCCTTCAGAGGGCCTGCAAGCACCTCATTTGCAAAAACCCCTCTTAGGCTTGTGAACTATCGGCTGGGCCATGAAGGCAACTGTTTCTGTAACAAACTCACAGGCAGCAGAAGCCAACGAAGATGTGAGGAGCCCAGTGGGGCTCGGAAGGGGAGCAGGCCCCCGTGAGCCTCAAGGAAGGGAGATTGAGAGATAAGGGCTGGAATGAGAGTCTGGTTAGCACAGGTGTGGCTCTGTGCTGCTTATCTGTGGCTGGGAAGCACAGAGCTGAAAATGCACCTCCTGAATCACCTGGTTCAGAAAGCTTGGACTCCTGGACCACTGGGGAGGTCCTACCACTTGGGGGCAGAGAGTGTTGCACTGGTTCAATACCTCACTTAGCCTCCTATTTCTGCCATTGTAGAGCGTCTTGGGGGCAGAAGACTTGACCTCACTGGAGGGACTGTCTTCCTCATGGGAGGGCCCAGCCCCACAGGTGGTCCTCAGTGAAAGCCTGCTGCAAGGAGGCAGGAATGGGTGGATGAATGGTGAGAGCTTACTTTCTCATGAAGCAATGCAAGAATGTAGTTAGATTTTTTTCAGGAAGCCCCTCAAAGCCTCTTTCCCATCCTGTGCACAGGGGTCCCCTCTCGGGCTGGAGGAGAGCAAAGTGGGTTATCTTTCCTTGCCATTGTATGCCCAGACCCTAGCTCAGTACCTGGCACAGAAGAGGTGCTCAATCAATAGTTGTTGACTGCATCGATGAATGAATGAAACGCCTTTTCACCCAGGACACTGAACCCTTTAGTTGTGCTCTTAACAGCTGCAGGGATTGTAACTCATCTGGGCTCCCTACCTTACCCCTCCAGGGAGGGTTAAAAGACACAAATTACCCTGTTAGAAAACATTCAGTGCGTGGAGGTTCATGGTCATCACTTAAAGGCACCCTCTGAAGTTGCCATCATACAGAATTTCTTCTGTCCTTGGCAGGCTGAATCCCTACCTGCCCTGACCCTTATTTTTCCTGCTGTGTGCTACCAGTCAATGGAATCCTGCTATCTTGTCATTTACGGCTGCTTTTGGAGCCATCGCCTCTGTGGGTTTGGTTTTACTTATCTCACTATCTTAGATCTACTTGTTTGTTTCTAAAAGGGCAGTAGCTTCCTGAATGACTAGGGAATAGACTGAACAGCGACAGCACTGTCTGTCACCCGTGGCCTGACGGTGTGGCGGAAAAAGCAGCAGCCCTGGCTGGGGACAGCTGGCTCTGTGACCTTGGGCAGAACGCTTCCTTTCTCTGAGCTGCCTTGGGTCTTTAATTCTGTGTCAACACCCATGAATGGGTTTCTCAGAAATGGAGAGATTTTGAGGTTGGTGTATGCTTTTCTGTGAAATTGTTGCTGTTTTTATTTTAAAACTTTTCATTTCAACTCCCGTTCAAGTGTTAAAATAGCACTAGCTATGAGAAATTAATATTTTGTGATTTAAAGGAAAGTATTATTATTATATCAGAAAACAGTAGTTTTTCTTGCCAAATACGTTTTTTAAAGGCTTCTGCATTCTTAAATGCGAATTCATTGTATTTCGGGTGACATTTCCCCATGAAGAATAGATCTGTGATTCATCATGAACCTCACGCTGAGGCTGGCTGGGAGACCATTCTTTGGTGTTACATCATCTCCAGAGGGTGCTCTGGCTACAGAAGCACCCAGGTTTCCAAACACACTGCAGTGAAGACCAAGTGGCAAGGTTCTTTTCTAGAGATCAGGGTAACCTGAGACTAAGCACGCCTATGTCCGCCACCCAGTGAGGGGGAGCAAGTCTGCCCGATTCCCTTGCGCTTAGATTAACGAAACAGGGGCCCAGAGTACTGGCTTCACCCTGTGCTCACCCACATCTCTTGCTTGATCAAGGGTCAAACTTAGGTCTCCAGAGTGTGGCACACACAACCACTGCTCATGCCCAGCGATGCATCCGGTCTCAAGACTTGCTTTCCAATTTCTCCCTGAGGGAAGGGCGGCTGCTAAGTCAGCATCGACTTGCTCCAGGCCATTTGGTTTTACCAGTTAACTCCTAACACCCTAACAGTAGAGTTTATTGGCACAATTTCTCCAGAAAGAGGCTGGAAGACTTAGCAAGTTCAAATTTTAATATTTTTATCAAGAGTCCCAAAGGGCTGACCCTTTCCCCCTCCCATCATCACCACCCACCCCAATAAGGCTTTCTCTATCAGAGGAAGTCAGGGTGCACCGAGCAGAAACAGCACAGGCCAAACCAGCAGGTACATGGTACATTATGAAATCAACTCAGCAAGCCATCTTTGTTAAGGGCGAAATAAGGCTCACAACACTGGAGGATACAGAAAAGCCAGGGGTATTAGGATTCTTCTGAAGGAGTTAGGGAGGTTGGGTGCGGTCTAGGGTAGACTTTCCTTTTCTGTTTTCTCAGAAAACATGCAAAGAAAGGCTTCACAAACAACTAGGTTTACACAAATATCAGTATCTCCCGAACTTCCCTTTTCAAAGATGGCCACCCGGCTGTCCATTCAGAGGGAGCACATGGCAGAATCGACATGGAGAGAGACAGGCAGCAGGAGAGATTTAGTTTTCCACAAAGGTTGTGAGTTTTTTTTTTTTTCCTTTATTGACAGGATTTAAAGTGCATATAACTGAAGGCAAAGTCCAAGGCCTAGAGAAAGATACAAGGCCCGAGAGAGAGGCTCAGAGATTCTAAAGGCGGCAGAGGGATACCTACCTAAAAAGGCCACTTGAGCTGCAGAAAGGATGGGGCAGAGAGACAGAAAATGGGAAAAAGAGAAGGGGGGTGGGGATGGGAGGAGGCGGGGGAAAGAGTTTGGGAGGAAGAAGACAAATACCAGTTCAGAAATTCAGACAAAGATGAGTAGTAAGAGCTAGTTTATATCCCGGGTAGGAAAAGATGGGCTGACTTTAAGGCAGGAACATTTTTATAGGAAATGTGACAGGGTAGATATTGGAAGAGCAATGGCCTCAGACCAGGGCACGACACTCGGGGGCCCTTCTGATGGTGGCAGTGGCTGTGTGGCGCTCCTCCGAGCCTCCGTACGGTCTTCCCTGGAGACCAACACGGGTCTAAGGAATTACCGTCTGCCAGGAGGAGGCTGGGGCTGGGCTCCTGCCCCGGGGGCCTCCCCAGAGCTCCCCAGTGGAAGGCAACTTCCCTCGGCTCCCGGGCTGTGGTCGGGCCCCACTCACCCACACAGGCTGTGCCATCCTCATTGGGCTCATAGCCCCGACTACACCTCTTGTTGGTCCGGCATCTGTAGCTTCCATAGGTGTTGACACACACGGGCTTGTCCCGAGGGCACACGAAGGGGAACTGGATGCATTCGTTAGTGTCTGAAAGACAAGGGCAGCCACTCACTGGGTGGAGTGGGGTGGGGCCTCCCTCAGGCTTTGCCAGCCCCATCGCTCTGTGCCTGTGCGTGACCTTAGCTGTGTCCCTTCTCCTCTGGGCTTAGCTTCCTCGCTTCGGTCCCCTTGGCTGGCTCCTCCTGTACTTGCCCTCTGCACGTTGAGGCACCTGGGCTGGTCCGGGGCCTTCTCTCTCCCATACTTCTTCTCTCATCCCTTCTTTTGTGGATATAGCCAGACTCCCCACCTCTAGCCACAACCTCTCCCTGGCGCACCATACTCACGAACCTATCTAGTATGTGTTTCAAACTTAGTCTGTCCAAAACGGAGCCCTAGATTTCCCCTCACACCTCAACGTTCAAACCTCTTCCACCCCCAGCTCCTGCTTCTTTAACTCAGTCAATGCCACCATCACCCACTCAGCAGCTCAAACACAAACCAGCCTGACCCCGGACTCCCCCTTCTGCCTTACCCCTGTAGCAACTTCACACCAGACCTGCCAGCTTGTTCCGGCTGTCCCACCTGCCCACCTTCGCCCTCCTCTGCCACCAGCCTGTGTCCACCACCATCCTCTAAGCCCGGCCTCTGCAGCTGCTCCTGACGTCTGCTCTTCCCTCCAGTACAACCGGGTATCAGTAGCCAGAGTGGACCCATCGGGCCACTCTCCTGCCTCACTGCGAGACCCTAAGGCCCAAGTCCGGTCACCTTGTGGAGCTGCCGGGCCCGCGGTGACTTGGCATCTGGCTTTGGCTCTGTGTCCTGCACGTGGGCTTCCCACGCCCTTGGCAGCCCCAGCGTTTCCCTGCTTCTTGCTCTTTGCTCCTGCTGCTCCCTCAGCTCTGTCTGTGGCCGGACCTTTCTTGTTGTTGAGGTCTCCTTTCAAGGGCCTCTCCCTGACTGCTCATCTAGAATAATCTTCAGAGAATGCCTTGTGTAAGGGTCCTCAGTGCCCCTGGTCCAGCTGTTGGTCATGAGTCTGTGGTCTGCTCCCAGCACCCTCCGGGGCCTGCTGTGTGGGGGGCCCATGAATGTCCTGCTTGATGACAAGGAGGCGGGGGCTGGGGGGGTGGCCTCACTGTTCCTCCCGGGTACGGGGAAGATGCTGGAGTTTCGGTGTCTCTGCACGGTCTGCTTGGAGAAGGGAGGGACCTCTGCCTGCCCCAGGCTGCCACAGCACCCTTCCGGCCCGTTTCTCGCCTGCCGCTGCCGGGCTGTGCCTCTCGCAGACTCTCTCCTCTCTGCCTGGCACAGCCTCATCTCCCCTCGGTCTCAGCCGAGACCTTGCTTTCTCTGGGCTGACTACTCAGACCCTCCCCGGCCCCGCCTGTGCTCCTGCGGCCAGCCGCTCCCCTGACCAGGCCTGCTCCTCACGCTCTACTTGTGGGCCCCTCCCATTGACCCTGAGCTCCACGAGGTGGGCCTCCGTCTGACTCCTTTACCATGTGTCTCAGGAGCAAGCCTGGCACCTGGTGCGGGCAGGTGAGCATCTGGCAGGTGAACTTTAGCCTGCGGCTGTAAGGCAGGAGGAGCCGCTGGCCCGACCCTCAGACCCTCACATCTGGTCACTGGGACGGAAGGCGCTGGGCAGAAGGTGTTCTGGATGCTGAGCCTCGAGGCCCCCCCTTTCTCACTGCAGGTTCTCGGAGGCTCTCAGAAGCCCAGGGCCCTCACGAGCTGCTGGCCCAGCGGTGCTGCTCGTGGGTGCAATCTCCCACCTGTACTGTGGCCACACGCCACGCCATGCCCTGCCCTGGGCTGTCCCAGCACCCCGAGGTGGTGCCTTCCTACCCTCCTCCTGCCTGTCCCCCCACTGGCTGGCCACGAGAAAGCCTCCATGGAGGACATAGGCCCCCTCCAGCCACCAGAACCGCCCACAGCTGGGCCCGGCAGGCTCACTGTCTGGGTCCCGTGTCCCCTCCCGATCCTCTCTGCTCATGGCCGGGAACAAACTGGCCCCACCCTGAGTCACACCGCTGTTGTCTTGGCTTTGGGGTTGCCTGCCCACTTCACCACCCCTTGCCTGCACCTTTAGCCCTGCCAGGGTGCAGGCTACCACTGTCCAGGGAGCGCTGGCCTCTGCCCCAGACCCTGGAGCCTGTAGGCAACTCACCTGTGCAGTGGCCATTTTCCTGCTGGGAGAATCCCTGGCCGCACTGCAAGGTGGGAAGAAGCAGAGACATAGTGAGTCGGGGAGAGCCCGCCTCAGGTCCCCCCAGTCACATCTACAGCAGAGCTGCTGGCCTGACCCAGAGTGAGGGCTGCGCTCAGCCCTGAGCCAAGGGGGAGCCCCTCCCTGGCAGCACCCTTCCCGTGCACCGGAAAGAACAGGCTGGAAGGCAGGCCAAGAACTGGGTCAAGCTCCCGCTCGTCCCCAAGTGGGATCCATGTCCCTTGGCTGGGACCCCTGAACCATCTGTCCCTTCTGTGCCATCACCCTGTGACAGGGCTGTGTCTTAGTCAAGGCAAAGAGTGATGGGGAGCGGGAGATGCTTATACCAACTTCTCCAAGAACCTTCCTTGCTCATGGGGGTTGGCACATGTGCCAGTCTAGATGCCACTCTCTGGGAGATAAAGGGGGCACCCCATCAGGGGGAGTGAATCAAGGCCTCTGGCTAGAATTTGAGCCATGGAGGCTGAGACAGATTTGGGAGCCTGCTCACACCCCATCCCCCAGCCCCCCACCACCGGGTTTGCTGTACCTCCTGGAGACAGCAGTCTGGTGGCGGGACAGGGCTCCAAACAACACTTCTCACAGGACAAGACGTCAGCTGTCCGTATCAAAAAGTGAGGGGCCCGGCGGGGACTACTGGAGAAGGGCGATGCTCCCCTCCCCAAAGCTGTGCACTGGTTACAAAGACCCTTAAGCTCCGGGGGCAGAGGCCATTGAGCTGCCTGCTCGTCTTGAACTTCCCCTTGGGTTTTGTGAGCACCCCTAGAATCCTCCTTACAGGTCCCCCTTCTGTGCGAGTGTAAGCCGATTCTAATTATGTGCGCCCACGTGGTGCCCACGAGGGTTAACGTCAGAGCTGTTGCTCAAAGAGCCTCCAGAGGCTCTGCCCACCCTCGAAGACTTGAGAAGAACCAGCAGGGAGCAGGAGGCCTGGGTCATCTTAACTTGGCTCGCAAAGGGCCGTACGGCCTCGGTGGATTCCTTTTCTTGGTTTCAGTTTTCCTCCTCTGTAGAATAGGTGCAAAAAGATTTGCCCTGCCAACACCCAGGCTTTCTGCGAGGCGCGGAAGAGGTGTGGGCGGTTGCAGGGGCAAGCACATGTTGAGGCGTCACTAAGAAGCCCGCGGTTTGCAAAGACCCGGCTCTCGAGAGCTGGTGTCTGCAGACTCTTGGAATCTCGCAGCAGCCCGGGGCGGTGGTGGGGTCTGGTTTTCTGGCAATGAGGCCTCGCTGCCTTTGCTCACCTCGAGTGGGGCTGGGTCCTGAGGTTTGGCTTCATCCTGGGGGTAGGGGATTTCCAGCACCGAATTCATCTCTTCACTGGCCACGCTCTGGCTCGCCATCCTGCCATCTGGCCACGTCACCTCCACGCTGCTGGCTTCATCCTTCCCTGTGCAGTGGAAGGGGAAGGTGTGAGCAGCAGAGGAGAGAAGACAGTTCCCAGCAAAGCACTCTCGCTCTAGTAAAGAGATGAATTTAACGTCGTTCTGAGCGCTAGGGAAACTGAGCCTGGCAGCTGTGGCCCCTTCTGGACAGTGCTGGCCAACAGAACTCTCTGTAATGGTGGAAATGTTCTGTCCATTACGGTGGCACCAGTTGAGCTCTTGAAGTGGGACGAGTGTGTCCCAGGAACTGAATTTTATTTCTATTTAATTGTAATTAACATGACTTTCACCAGCCACAATGGCCAGAGGTTATGCTCTTGGACAAATAAGCTCTAGAACTTTCATTACTGCCTAGGTCCATCAGCATGAGGATTTTTTAGGGGAGATGGAACCAACTAATAAGCAGGCTGACTGGGATTTGGTCTAAATCTCGGCCGTGTGGCTTACGGGGTATGTTGGAAAGAAGAGCATGAAAGGTGGGCTCCGGGAGGCCTGGAGCACGTAATCCCAGGCAGGTGCTATCGGAGCTTATTTTTAGATTACCCATGTCCACTTTTATACCCCAGCCACATTCACATTTATAGCCTGCTAGGAAACAGGCGCTTTCTGTCCCTGGGGATGTCCCTGTTTTCAGGAGTTTCCACTCTGGAAGGGCGGACAGGCAACAGGTGCACAGTAAGGGGTGTCAGATCTTAACAAGCTCCACAAGGAATGGTGGGCCAAGAGGCACCTGCCTTCTGTGCGCAGACCGGCCAGGGACAGGCTCCCGGGCAGAAGTCATTTGAGTTGTGTGCCGATGAAAAGTTGCAGGGAGGCGCACAGAACACTCGGCAAGGTGACGTGTTCACTAACGGGGGTGACGTGTTCACTAACAGGGATCTGTCCTTAGCAGCGCCTGTCCCTGGAGGCAGAAGGCAGGCTGGGAAGCTTTCCCAAGTGTTAGGCATCGCCAAAGTGGCCCCGGCTCCCTGTAAGGCAGGCCCAACACTGTGGCAAGATCTGGCTAGTAGTGACGAACTGGGGTGGCGGCTGGACCTCCCCTGCAGGGAGATGCTGTTTTTGTCAGTCACCTGGGAAAGGGCTGCACTCACAGAGGGCATAGACCCTGGTTATGGCCCACCATGGCCGAGCATGTGTGGGCCCAGTGCTCAGGGGTCCACACATCTATGCACCCCACCAGCTCCCTTTATAGGCTGAAGGAATGATAGGGCACCACAAGTGTCCCTTTTCCTGTCGTGCGTCCAGGTTCTGCTAGAAAACAAGTGAAGCCGAGATGTGCTATTGAATTGAGAGTCGCTTTTGGTCATTATCGTTCGTCCTTGGATTGACAAAGACGGCCCCCTGGGGTGAAGGGCAGTCTGTGAAACACCATCATGTGTAAAGGGGTTCGCCAGTTTTAGACTAGGGCTGCATGCAGACTTTGAGAAGAACCTGTGTGGGGACTCCCCTGGGCAGTCTGATGGGCGGGGCTCAGCACGCTGTGGTCGGAAGCAGCTGCATCTCATTCCAGCGCTCCGGGATGTCCACTTGGGGATTCCAGAGGAGCTCACACCTGGAGAACACTTCATCCAGCTTCCTAGCCGAGTCTGGTTCCCTTTTGTGTTATGCCCAAGCCTCCGCCAAACCCAACCCCTTCCTCAGCTCTGAGCAGTCTCATTGGAAGTTTCCAGGCTCACTGCTGCTGTGCTGTGAGTTAATGAGGACAGGGACCAGCTGCCACCCACTGGAAGGGTCAGAGGTGAGCAGCCTTCACCTCCTCAGGCTGGCGGGGGGGGGGTTGGGGTGGGGTGGGAGGGGTGGCAAGGATGTACCAGGGCGAGGGTCCCACGTGCGGGCCGACTTCTCATCCATGGAGATTCGCCCTTTCCAGGCCACTGACTAGGTCCGAGTTTTGCTTTATGAAGCCAGGAACTATTCTCATAACCCCTGTTTCCCATTCCCTCCTTCTACAATTATTGCTTTTGGGGGAGGGGGTGGAAATGGGTGTGAGGGGTGTCTGCTCCAGAAATTTTTTCCATCTGGAGTGTCTTGAAGTTCAAGAGAGCTGGCATTTTTAGGGTGTACAGTGCCCACATAAAGTGGCATACACAAAAAGTAAACATTTTCCACTTAAAAAAGGAGACAAAGAAAAGCAAATGTTTCTCACCTCAGCCAACAGAACAGCTACATGAATACATTTTCCAGGCTGACTGAAGTGCCACAAATAACTCAAGAGTCACCGAATATTCATAGACAACCACAAATTTACATCCTGTATTTGCCTGCTTCCGCCCTTCCTCCACACCCAGCATCCGAGCAAGCCATGAAGTCCCTCAGCAGGACACTCTTCCCCATTTGGGCGCCCTTGGGGGCCCCATTTCCTCATCTGCAGGACAGGGGTGCTGGCTGGAGCGCGGAACCCTGCCAAGGGCAGCCTCCCCCTGGGATGTGAGGCCCCGCTGGGCACACACCCCTTGGCACTTACCCCATCCTCTGACACTGGGGCACCTACCGTCCACAAGAAGCTTTTTTTCATTCACTGGTTGGCAACAACACTAGAGAACTGTACCCCGAACCCCGCCAGGTGAGTTGCAGTGTTGCTTTGGTGCCTTATGGCAGCAACACGAGGGAGGTATTGTTTTGTAATTCCTAATTTAGAGACTTGGGGGACAGAAGTGAATTGCCCAGAGTTACACAAGTAGGGAGCATCTGGCCCCAAAGCCCACATCTACCATACCCATGTCCTACTGCCCACCCCCTACCTTGCCCAGCCCACCTGGAAACAAGCATCCCATGGGCAGGGCTGTGGGGGCCCACAGGAAGGTGTGGGGGGCCTCTGGGAGGACCCGAGCCCGTGGTACAGGGGCAGAGTGAGGATGTTAAACTGGGAAAGCGCAGCGGCCATGCTGGTTCCAGCTTGGCAAGGCCAAGGGCGTGCAGGCGTCTGAGCTGGGCCTGGGCCTGAGCCGTCCCCAGGCCCAGCTGAGGCCTCTGCCCCAGAGGGCTCGAGCCTTCCCACGGCCACACGACGGGCCTGGCTCTGGCTCAGTGGCTGCCTACTGCCCTTGGCCAGGCCTTGTACAGGGAGCGGGCTGGCCAGTGCAGGAGGCCCTGCTGACCAGCACAGACGTGAGGGCAAGGCAGCAGAGACTGGCCTCTGGCAGCTTGGGAAGGACAAAGGCCAGGGAGGCACCGGAAATTGCACTTTTCAGAAGAATTACAAGCAAAACAGATGGTGGGAATACAGTTGGTGGAATATTTTTGCACTTTAATAAAGCCATTTTTCTGTGGGCCCCTGCGTCTTCCTTCCTGAAGTGAGCACCAGCCAGCTGCAATCAGTTGAAAGGGAGGCGGCACGTGCTTATGGGGGCGGTTGTCAATATTTGGGGTGAGACCTGAGTGGGGTTGGCAGGGGTTAGCAGATTATAGGGGCTTGTTTTTATTTCTGGGTTTGATTGCACTGACTGAGCCTTCTGACAGCTAGGAAGTGGGAACCAGGGTGTGAGATATGAGGGGCTGGGGGTGGGGTTGGGGCAAACAGGATGCATGTGGGCACTCACCAAAGACGGAGCAGAGACGTTAATTTATGAGCCTGGCGCTGTCTGCAGAGAAAGGTCAGGGAGGGGGGGAAGGCAAAACTTGGGGCTCCACTGAGCAGAGATGGGTGGGGTGGGAGCTGACACCCCCAGAAGAGACAGTTTTGTAGGAAGAAGCTGGAGCATGCTGCACAGCTGTGGACCCCTGAGAACAGACACCCGGCAGATCCCGAGCGTCTCCTGTGTTGCGGTGCAGCCGACCCAGGGCCAGGCCCACTGCGCCTGAGAAGCCCGTCACGGAGCTGGCTGGCTCCGTGCTCAGGGCAGAGTCCGGCAGGTGCTCTCCAGTGGGGGTCAGGATGCACGGGAAGCCTCGCCTGGCGAGAGGACGGGGGGCATACCTGGGCACCCACAGACTGGTCCGCAAAGTCAGGAGGAGGCAGGGGTGGCTTGTGGAGGGAGGAGGGACGTGCGGCCAGTGGGGTGAGTCTGGATGGCTTAAGCACTGCTGGGGGCATCCTGTGGCCTCCGCCGGCCTCTCCTCACAGCCCAGGCTGCACCTGCTTTTCAGTGGATTGGAAGCCAAGGCAGGCCAGGACATGCCCCTTCTCCCCGAGACGGGGGGCCAGACTGCTCAGGGGGGAAGCCACTGCACTGTCTCTGGGGGGCCGATGCAGGAAATGACGCCTGAAGCCTGAACTCCTGCAGCCTTGCTGGGACGTGGAGGAGCCAGGCGCAGGCTTGGAGCGAGGTCCAGGATGCGGTGTTGAGAGAGCGAGAAGAAAAGGCCAGTTTGGGAGCAGTGGATCGCCCATCATCGTTTTAATCATAAAATCCCAGGAGTAGATTCCTGGAAATGTGCTCGCAGCGATGCACGTCACGGGAGCCTACAGGGAGGCCAGGCTGCACCGCCCGCCCGCCTCACCACCCTTCGCTCTGCTCTGCACTTTCTTCTCACTGGGCCCAACATCTCCCGGCGCCTCACGGCTACACCTCGTCGTTAGCAATTTTGTATTCCTCGCTACTCCATCTGCCACTGGAGGGTAAGACCACGCATGGCAAGAATCTGCACTTGCGTTTGGCACCTAGCAGGTGCTCAATAAATATGTATTGAATAGCTGTATCAGATGGCACTGGGGGAGGGTGGAGGGAGAAACGTTCCCTCTTACTTAATATTCCAAACATAGTGGTGAGAATACAAGTTATTTTTACTTTCTTCTTCTTCTTTTTTTTTTATAAGATTTATTTTATTTATGCATACAGAACTGGGGTACAGGCCAGAGGTGCAGGGGAGGTGAGAGGATTCACCAGAGACAGAGTGGGGAGCAGGACATGCAGACTGACGAAGTGCACTGCTGAGGGGAGCAGCGGCCGGCCAGGAGAGGGCTGCCGCGCCATGGGTGGGGATCAAACTCATGCTGCTTTGGCTATGTCGCGTCCTAATGCTGTGCTCTGACCTATTGTGACACCAGGGAGGGTCCTTTACCTTCTTATTTGATTTTTAAAAATATTTTCTAATTTCCCATAATCAGTATGCATTATTCTGACACCTAGAAAAGCACACAAAAATAAGGCCTAAAGACAACTTCTGCGGGGACCCAGGCCCTGCCAGAGGCCCCTCTGCAGGAGCTTTACCGCAGCCCTGCCCTGGTGCGGCCAAGCCTGGCGGGATTCCGGCCCTGGCGGCCCCTCCTGTCCAGCCTGCTCTGCGTGTCCCCAACAGGGTGGCCTTGGCATCCTTCTCCAGACTCTGCTCCTTCTGCCCCAGACACACTGGACGCACTCTGGGCCGTGGTTCAGCCAGCAGACTAGAGTGTTCTCCCAGTCCCAGAGCTGGCCTTCTACCCGCCCCTCTCCCAGCAGGCCTGGCCTTAGCCCCGGCTCCTTGGGAAAGCGGCCTGGGAGCAGGCCTGGCTTTCCCTGCTCGGGGCCCCGCGGACACTGGGCCGCATGAGGCGCGTGCCAGTCGCTTACAGGAGAGTCCCTGTGCCCACCGCCGCGCTGCTTGGACTGGAGGGAAGGAAGAGTTTCTTTTGGTCTTCACTCTCTCTGTCTCTGAGTCTCTTGGTCTCCCCAGCTCCTGTCTCTGCCTGTGTCCCCACTGTCCTTCCACTGGCCTCCCCTGAGGCTTCTCTCTTCCTTGCCCACACCTGGCCCTCCATCAGTGAGGAGGCCTGTGCTGCGCTCTGCACATGGAGGAGCTTCCCCTGGGCCTAGGTGCCGTGGCTTGGCGCCCCGGGCTGTGTCCAGGCTGCTGCCCTGCTGACTGCTGAGCCACAGAGCTTCTCCCTGCAGGCCCCAGGATGAGGCGCAGGGTGGGCCCCAAGAGCAGCTTCTTTCAGTGCATCTCTGGAAGTGGTACTGGTAGCAGAGAGGATCTGTGGGGAGGCCAATAGGGCAGTTGGAACCAGAGTTCAGACCCAAAACAATTTTTGAGGCACATGACAGGTGTCTTAAATATAAGAGGGAACCCATGGGATACGGGGGAGGGGAACCCAGCCCAGTGTGGCCTGGCCATTGATTTGCTATGTGAGTCTCAACTTCCATATCTGTAGCCAGGGATGATGTTGGTGACCAGCCTGATACCTGGAACAGCATCCTAGTTAGGGTATGGTGACAGTCAACTTGGTACCTGGACAGCCTCACTATGTCTCCTTTCTAAAGTAGGCTTCAGCTTCGGTTTTCTGATCTGTAAAGTGGGGGTTCGGAATGCTGATTCCTCCTATTGGACTGGGAGTTGAATAAGGAACCACAGAGGATACTCGGCCAGTGGCTGGGCTAAGCAAAGTTAGTGCTTGACCAGAGCAGCTGCTGCTGTATTACAGGGGGATGCATTTAAAGGTCACCTTGGACTTTTGGGCCAGCAGAGCAAACAGCTGTCCTCACAAGGGATAGCCGTCCAGCCACAGGCCAGTCCTCTCAGTGCAAAATAGCCCGAGAACTTGTTCATATGACCAGGCCCTGGGTCCTCTAAATATCCATGCATCTTTTTCAGGCTGCTTAATGAGCCTGCGTTTCCTGTAAAAATTGAAACACACAATAACACACATACAGGAGAAAATTCAAGTCAGATACTCAGAGGTCTGGGCTGGAGGCTCCGCTCTGCTATTGAGCCATCATCTGACCTGGGCAGGTTTTTGCGTTGTTCTGACCCTCAGTTTCCCCATTTGTGAGGCCAGAATAAACAACAGGTAGTCATGCAGATGACGTGACATACTAAGAGTGAAGAGCCAGCGTGCCTGGTGCATGTTAGAGCTACTATAATAACCAGCCGCTCAGAGAGTCACTGTTCACACTTGTTGTATTTTCTTTCTATTTTTTCTCCACACATAAGACATGTGTATCAAACGAACAGGCACATATGCATTTATTAACTTGAGATCATATTGCCTATTATGTTAACAGTAGGTCACCTTGTGAGATGCTAACACATGGTGTGTGTGGGGGGGTGGCTTTGAGCCTGGGATATTTGACTCATGCTTTCTTGACCATCATGTTTCAGTAAAGACACTCTTGGATCTCCCCAGTGATTCGTAACCTTTCCCCATTATCACCTTTCCTCTCCAGGAAGCCTGTTAAGATCACTTCCCCTTAACCCATGGCCGGTCTCCCCAGGCCCCTGACTCACCCAAGCCGAAGTGCGCCACAGGCTCCATCTCGCACAGGTAGCCCGAGCCCCCGTCGATAATCCTCAGGTGGGCCCCGCTTTTCTTGGTGTACAGCACCACCTTAGCCCCTCTGGCGAAGGCCCCAAATCGGGTCCGAGGTACCACTCGCAGCCAGTTGTTGCTGAAGCCCTGTGGGGGGAGGGAAGGAAGCAGCCTGGCTCAGCTGGGAGCAGCAGGGGCGGGTAGGGGAGGAAGAGGCAAGGAGCAGAAGGCAAAGCCTGGGAACAGGGTGGGAGCCAGGCAGGAGGAAGGCAGAGCAAGGGCGGCTTGGCTGCCACTGGAAACAAGTGCTGGAGAAGCGGAGGCTGGACGCTGCCAGGGGAAAGGGGATGAGGTGCCCAGCTCCTGCTGCAGTGGCCAAGCAAATGTCCCCAGCGCCTCTGCCCTCATCCGCCCGGACCCAGGGGAGCACATCGGCTGGGCCCATGGGTCCCGTGGTCCATGCACACCTGGTTACCCCGGAAGACGGACAGCGGCTGAGCCATGGACTCTCCATGGGACAAGATGAGGTCCAGCATCCCATCTCCATCGAAGTCTGTCACCACGCCCCCTGCAACAACGCAGATTTCACTCTGGCCATCGACCAGGAGACCCACTGGGAGGGGCTCAGGACCTGCCATGGCCACAGCCCTGAGTGCAGGAGGCAGAGAAAGGACACAGCTGGGGCAGGGAGGCTGGGCCTGAAGCCTGCTCCCCTCCTTTCTTACAGCCACTCCCAACGGGGCTCACGGAACAGGGGCTCCCTTTCCTTCCCCCATTTGGCACAGAGAAGATGGATGCACATTACACAGACCGCGAGGACTTCCTTCTCTTCCATCACACTTGCCCACTAGAACTGCACTTCTACAATCTGTGAGGCATTCATGCACATACTGTCCCCTTTTGGTCCTTACTACTCCTCAGACAACTGAGGACGGTGGGCTCATCATGCCCATTTTATGCATGTGGAAACAAGGCCCAGATGAAGCAACTTCTCCAAAATCACAAGTGAGACAATGGCAGGGCTGGGTCTCTGGACTCCCGACACGGTATTGTTTCCTAGCCCCTGTGGGAGAGGGGGAGGTCACACCCTTCTTTCCATCTCCCCCAGTAGAGCCTGGCCAGAGAAGCTACAGCATGGAGATTCAAGTTGGAACTGGTTTGAGCCAGTTTCAACCGCTTTGAACCAGTCAGAACCGGTTTGAAACTGTTGGAAGCAGTTTGACCTAGTCTAAATCCGTCGGAACTGGTCTAAATTTGTTGGAACTAGATTGAATCAGTTAATACCGGTCTAAACCGGCTTCAGTCTGTTTGAAGCGTTCCGCCTCTCTGAATTTTGAAGAGGTCAGAGTGAATCCACAACTCTTTGGAAA